TCAATAAATCACAATACAAATAACATGGCTAAGCCAAATCCCATTCCTCACTATGCTAATTTGTCACTTAAAAAGATTTCAAGAAATCATATAACAACATAATAAATGTATAGACTCACAAAATTTGAATATAATAGGTGTTCTTAATTTTAACCCAATGTTGGGCACTAGAGATTATATAGCACTTACTTTAGGCACGTTGCGAGTTATATCCATTTGGCCTGCTAATACTGAATAATTAAATAAAATATCAAAACCTTTATGTAATGTCATATAAAGAGCTAAAAATAAATATTTATATCGATATATATATATTATCGCACTGTATTTTAAGACATTCCTGCGCTTGAACCAAGAAATGACCATCACCAATCAGTCTTCAGAAATATAATAATTAAGTCTTTCAACAAAAACTGCAATACAAGAGGAATGCATTATGTGCGCCTTTAACAAAAAATGATTGAGCCAATAATAAAAATGCATGCCAAATTTGAAGTTACAAAGGAATGAATAATATTTTTTTCAGTTTGAAGATAAAAATAAAATCATTTTAAAAAATTAACCTACAACATTCTTTCATAATGTGTCTGAAAACAAATTAATAATGATAATAGAGAGAAAATTATGACAGTTCTGTGTACTTAAGGATAAAGTTTGGACTAACTACTAACTTATGTGATTTACTTATTCTAAATGGTACAAGGATCTCATTAAAAAAAAATTTTTAAAAAGAAAGAAATTTTCGTAAGCCCAAAAACCCAAAAATAAAACACACTTATTATTTAAAATGACATTGATGCGCATTTTTTTTTTTTTTTTTTTTTTTTTTAAATCAGGACTTATTCTTTGTACAACACTTATATTCATGGTTCATGTTCTTCCATTCTCGGAAGTGTTAAAACCTTAATCCTCAAGATGTTTTAAAAACATCCAATAGGAAATTACAACCTTAATCACGTATAAAAACGTGCTTTTCATTTTTTTATTTTTTTATTTTTAACACTTTCATATACTAATCTAATCAACACTTAGCCCATCACTCTAAAATTATTGTTAATATATTTTATATATTTATATATATATATATATATTTATTTATTTATTTATTATGTAAAATGTAAGACCACTGGAAGAATACATTATTAAGCTGTTTTCTATCGTTAATGGTAAGGCTATGTCGTTTCAGTTACTGAGGCGTCAGTATGAAAGGCGACACATTGGTCGTGTGATAACTTAACCTATAGCCACACAGTAATAAGATAACCCTAATACATTGAACACATCTTAATACAGACCCTATTTATATTTACACAATAGCCATTAAATATTGAAAAAATAAGCACTATTTTCAGAAAATAAATATTGATATTTAAATATTAAATTTATTTTAAAAAAATTAATAAAGACGCGCTTTTTATCACTCTGATTTGTCAACAGAAAATAATAGTTTTAATTAATAAATATAATATTTACTTTACTTTTTAAAATGATAAAATATTGACTAAAAAAAGTTTTCTGTTGGTTCATTTAAGTCTCAATTTTCACACTGTATTTTCATTTTAAGTATAAATGATATGGCTTCACATAGACATGTTCCTATTACTAGTTTCTAAATGAAAACCCTCAGAGAGACTGAACCGCGTACTGACAAGAGTTACTGGGTGCTCCTGCGAGTGATTGTTCGCTTCGTTGTTGTAACATCTGCATCTTGTATAACTCATTTACCGTTCATATTTATTGCTAGATTTATTATTGGTGTCGATATGATCCCCAGATATGCGAAACACAATACAATAAATGTTGAAATAAATGATTGTCAAAATTACTGTTTTTCGCATTTTTTATATAATATAAAGATAAAAATACTTTTAATATTGTAAGATGGAATTGTTATTTAACAAAAAGAACAGTTGTCCCCTTTACTCTTAACAACTACATGCCATCAATAGTCCTCGCAGAAACACCGTATTTCTATAAATCACAATAATACTAAGAGTAACCAGACAGCACACTCACGCTTTTTTTTTTGTTTTTTTAAATTTTTATTTCAATTTTAATTTTTAAAAACTATTTTAAGTCTATTACTATTCATTTAGAAATCTATCAACACACACGTAATTATCTGATTGCAACAGACAACATACAACATCTAATAATGTTTTTTATTAATATTAAATATTTTTCAAACAAAAGTGGCACTTGAATCACAAAAATCTTGGGAAACAGGGTTTTTTCCATTGCCTATTTCAAGTTTTTCAACAGACATTTCCAAGTTAAAGAAATAAAAAAACTGCTGAAAATATAAAACTCTTTCCCATGATTCCCTTGTTTCTTAATTGTTTGTGCATTTAATAACAGTTTGGACAATCAATGAATCAATAGATTTATTAATTATTTTTGAACTAAAACTAGCTGACTAATAAAGCTCTGATAAGCATGCCTACTTGGTAATGTAACCAGAATTATATTTTTGTAATTAATTATTTTAAAATTCTCATTTAAAGCCAAAGAAAATTAAACCAGGTTTGAAAAACAGGGATCCTGAGAAGTCGTCTAGTTAAAGGTAATATTACTTAAAATTCCCCTTAGTAAATATTTGATTAATACTTGAAAAAATTTGCATAGGTTCATGTAGTAATGGGCCTAGAAAAACCTTAAGGAAAGTACTTTCCCAAGATGACCTTCCTTACAAATATTCTATTAATTTAAATAGATATAGACTATGTTGAAAACCCAGAGATATGTGAATTGACTGTGAGAAGCCCTTTACCCAAGGCTGAACCCAAGCAATAAAAACAACTTAACAAAGACACTTAACTACAGAAAATAGTCCTAGTATAATAATATATATGTATATATAATGTATGTATTTATATATATGCGTTATAATATACGGGATACAGCCATGTAAATTGTGTACGTATCACGGGATAATCACGGCGCACAATTGACCAGTTATCGCTTGTGTAAGCCGGTCTTGCCTTTCCCTCTGCTCAATCTTTTTTCATTTCTTTTTTTTCTTTTTTTTTTCCATTTTTTTAACATTTTTTTCTATTAATTTTTAAGTTTACATAAATTGTCACTATAATAGTAATTATTTTATCACAATATAAGAGGAGATTAGGTGTGTGAGCAAAACAGGCCACAGATTTAGATATCTTAATCCAAAAAACACGTAGGTCACATAAAGTATGCTATGACACTCGCCTGACTTATAGTTAAGTCCAACATCAGTTCACTCATCAGCAACTAGTACTTTTATACATCCTATTCTTCAATGGTTCTTTTTTTTATTGCAATAAAATACCCTTTAAAAAAAAAGAAAGTCATCTCTTGATAAAATATAACTGCTTCTGAAATAACATTAACAATGTTTTTCAACTTTTCATTAAACAAGTCTGGTTGCTTATTATTACTTGAAATACTTATTAGCTACTGACTTATATTTCTTTTTTTTTTTTTACACCTAACGTAACATTAATCTAAGATATATATATTTAATATATGTATATATATACTTAATGCTATAGAAAAAAACAAAAGCATCTTTAAGTGTAAAGTTAATCTTCCCTATACATTAATATTTGGTTGAGGGTTTATTGGCAATTTCAAGAGTAATAGTTTAAGCACACCTATCATAAAAATCATGTACATTGTTAACCAATCTTAAATTCAATTACCTAAACACACGTATTGTAACATGAGATAAACTAAAGACTTGGCATATCTTTTAAATATACAATAATAATAATAATAATAATAATAATAATATTCAGACTATAAGTAACAAATATGAGAGACATGATTTTGCCACATTGGGAGTGAAGGGGTGTGGTGTTAAGAATTAACTAAGCTTGAAGTGAAGTCAAAGGTAGTGAAATTGTGTCTGTGACTTGTGGAAGACTTTCAAATGATATTATAATTCCCACATCATTCCCAACAGGCAACACCAAAACCTTTCCACAATTCACAAACCTAACATCCTAATACATTTGCACCATTGTTTATAAAACTACACATAATAAAAATTACTTAAAGTATAACTCTTACGTCCAAACAAAGGTTTTAATAAATTATGTACATAAACAAAAATTACAATAAAAAAAAATCAGGTTCCACTTAGAAATTCTATGGTAGCAACGACTGTATTGTATCAATCTGTAGATTAAAAATACATACTAAAAAGCCACTTGCTTGCTCACAGCGCATTGTTATCTTCAAAATATATACAATATATAATCATCAAAAGACTGAAGGTTTAACGCTATACAGCGATAATAGAAAATCTCACTTATATTAAAAATTGTTATAATAAAAATCCCAAGAAAAATACCTAATACCAAACAACATGTGACTTAAATCATTATAAAAATAAAAACGATGTGACAAATAAAACAAAACTACCTGCTAAATAAATAACCAGAAGACAACCATAAATTCTTCATTATTTTATATCTTTCCAGCAAAAGACTTTTTTTTATAAATAAGTTTAAAGCAAATTTAAACAAATATACATAAAATAAACATTACACATAACCAATTTATTTAAAAGTCGATTGTACCTCCAGTTCGTAATAATTTTCTTTTTAAATTTATTTATAAAATAGCTCTTTTATCATCGTTAATATAAATTATTACTTAGTAATATTGAATCGTTTTTCACAAATACTCAAACAGTCTGATTTTGTTCGACAGGAACTACACTTGTCGTAATATACTTTTAAACTCATAATTAAATTCATTCTTTAAAATACAATAATAATAATTATATTAATAATAAGATATAAGTTCCTGGTACAAATTATTAATTGCATATACTTCATTTCATATATATGTATATATATATTTATAATAAAAAGGTCATGTGGTGTTTCTGAGATCAAAGTATTTGTTTTTTTTTGTTTTTTTTTTAATTTTTTTTGTTCAATAGTTTTGATTGACGTATTTATAGATCGAGAAGAATTTGGTGAAGAATTGAGAGAAGAATGAAGAGGATTTGCCTAAATGGACTCACCACCAAGAAGGTCACCTGGCAAATATGAATTTATGGAGGATGGAGTGTTGCGGTGCTGATCACTATCACCTGCCCAAAGGGAAGCAGCAGTAGAGCTCGCTCCTGTCGCTCCCCAAAGCTGGGAATTGCCCCAAGCTTCCTTACCACGCCAAGCTGAACTGCCACTAGCAGCACTCCCCTGCCCACCAAGATGCTGAAGTAATGACAGCACATCAGTCTCACTAGGGCTCTCGGCAAAGATTGTAGTGTTCCCAAGAACACAATTGTTCAGAGCACCCTGGGCCTGTTAATTAAATATCAAGTACTGAAGCAAAATTTAAAAAATAAAATGTTTAATTTTCATTTTAAGGTTAAAAAATATTCATACCTTGTTAGCCTCTTCACGAGAAGCATATTTAGCAAGAGCAATACCATGGTTTAGATACAGATGAAAATTAGATAGAGGTCCATGTTGTAAACAAAGGGTTTTCAAAGTCGAACCATCAATCTAAAAAAAGTATGCAGAGCACGTCAGTAAGACTTGATAGGACCAAATACTGATCATTAAAGACAGTTAATAAACATCAGAAGCAAACAGCAAACTAACTATCCAAATTATGGAGGATGAAAAATGAGGCTTCATCCTAACTATATGTAATTATATATAAAATAGTTGAATGTAACATTTAAGTAAAAGATGGTCAGCGTTTCATTAAAATAGTAAACAAATTTCAGTAATTGTAACCATCATTAAATAGTCGTGAACAATACTTTATTTAGTTTTTATCACCATGCTAACATTAATATATGTCAGTGTAATGTTATAAAAAGCATTAATGCATTTCAGTAATGACTGCATCGCTAACCACTAACTTCTAAAACAAATAATCCATTCAGTACTAGTTGACTCACAAAGGTTATTAAACTGCAATAAGGCAGGGTACAATAGCCTCTATAGCGTACAAATTAACACTTCAGTTAATAAAATGTGATTAAGTAGGAGAAGGTGTTGGCTATATAAATCAGATTTCCTAAGAATCATCTCTCAAATTATTATTATTACATTTGAGAAGTGGATAAATATTTGGCTCTTTCACATCCATTGTGAAAAACTAAAGTGATTAGTTTAATACATTTTTTTTCATTAATAGATTATTTAACATAATAATTAATAAAAAAAATATTATTTTTTAATTAAAATTTATATATTGGAGAATTTTTGAGGAACATACTCAAAAGAAAAAAGAAACAGTGTTAAAATATATTATTCCCTATGAAATAACAATTAAATTCTTGATAGTAATAATGATAAGGAAGACATACCTGAGGAGTAAGATTGCGCAATAACAACCAAGTTGATCCTGGCTGAGTAGCTGCTGCCTGATTGGGTCCAGGCCAACCTTGCCCAGTAGACCAACGGCCACTGCTAGACAATGGTCCCCACCCGTTTGTTGCCTGCCCACCACTGGAGCCACCAGTAGGTTTGGCTGGTAAACCTGGAGGAGGCCCTCTTTTTGGAGCCCACAATTCAGATGAATTAGTTTCCCAAGTTGAAGCACTATTTTTGCCTCCACCATTATTTGATGTTGATCCACTACCACCTCCACCTGCTCCACTAGAATTCAGCTTCACACTAGATCAGTTTGGAAAAAATTAATAAATAGAAATGGGTCAATCAACTAAAGAAAATTTATAGTTAAAGAAAGATATTTGAAGGTGTTTGATAAGAACTATCCCGTCTAGTTTAGACCAATAGGACACAAATCCTAATTTTCTGCAAAACAAATTATCTCCACCAACAGAAATGAAAAAAAAAATTTTCAAGACAAAAAGATTGACCTGAATATGACTTTTGTGCTTTTTATTAAGATTTTACAATTAATGAGGGATATGACCTGTTTGCTTTTTGTAAAAATTTTACAAGAGATGAAGGATATATTGGGTTAAGGAAAAGCAATTTAGTTTTTTTATGTTTTTAAAGTGAATTTATTTATATAAATTTTAAACAATAACGAATGATATATGTGCAGTTTTCATCGATGACCTTTTGTCAATTTTAAAACTATAAATACTTAACGGTAGGAGTTCTAAGATTTCTGGAAAAAACTGAACCAAGTGATTTTCAAATTCCTTTTTACTCCATTAAGAGAGTTCACTATAGGCCAAACAAATGGTAGTAAAACGGGGCAATGTCTGAATTATAAGGTGAATGAATGTATCAAAACTTGCCAGCCGAGCTCTCCTTATCTTTGCTGGGTCATTAAAGATTTGTGTGTGGTCTGGCATTATCCTGATGGAGTACACCTTTCCTATTGATCAATTCTGGTGGTTTTTCTTGAATAGTCTGCTCCAATCGCACTATAGTCGTTCACAGTAGAGCTGAATGGTTTGGCCAGGTTCAAGCAGCTCATGATGAACAATTTCTTTCCAATCAAAACAAAAACTCAGCATCACCTTCCTTGGTATCGTTCTGGGCTTCGCCACTGTAGTTAAAGCTTCTTCAGGCTTTGACCACAATCTTTTTCGCACATTATTGTCATAATTGATCCGCTTTTCATCACCCATAATCATTTCTTTCAAAAATGGCTTGGTTTTGTTTCATTTCAGCAGTCATTCACAACTTGGTTCATTAAATTTTTCACTGTTAATTTATATTGAAAACAAGTATCCAGCTTCTTTTGGTATTCAGGCTGATATAAATGGTTCAAAACTATTTTCTGATCGATGTTCAGTTTCGAAACAGTTTTAGATGATATTTTGTAATCAAAATATTAACAAGAAATCATCACTTTGTAGAAAGCTGTTAAATTACATGTAGTCTGAAGGTTAACAATTTAATTGTAACATTTTATTGACGTAACCTAGCTTTATTATTCAACTTAAAATACCATGAGAAATGGTATATGTTACTGAAATAAGATCATAACCCCACACTTCATCACCATATTTCTTTCTACCCTTGTGATACTAATGAAAACCATTCAATTTAAATTTAACGTTTTTCACGCTTTAAAATATTTTAAAACAAGTAGTCCAAGAGCCAGATCAAAATTTTGTACTTCTTTGTAGAAAAGTAAACTGCACATTGTATAATGTCTATCCTCAACATTTAATTTCTACTAGTCTGCTAGGACATTTTAAAATTGTACCCATTGAAAGGAGAGACACAAATGTGTAAAACTTGCATAATTAGAGGATGATTGATTAGTTTAAAGCTAACATGAAACTGTACACCACTAAGTCTGGAGAATGCATTGCTGAGTTGGTTGAAGTGTTGCACACAAGCACCCTAACAGGCATGTGCGCACACGCAACGCACCCAACCATACACCATTGGCTGTGAAAATACTTTTCTGGGATTCAGAGGGCTCTAAAACCCCAAAAAGACATGTCGAAAACTGCACATAAAAAAATCAACATAATTACAATTACTTCCAGAATATTCGAGATGAGCCAATACACAACCTCTATACTTTTTGGTACCATTGTATACTAGAAAACTAAAACAAATATTTATTCACAGTTAAAACATAAATTCATTTTTTTTTTTCATTAATGCAAGTTACTACTTTTCTATCCAAAAAGCCAATTTTGGTTTATTATTTTCAATAATGAAACATTTTGATTGATCAAAAAATTCATAAACATAACCCCCTCTCAAAATTTGAGGTTTCACGTTTCAAGACGCGTAGAATTCGAAAAACGAATAAAAATTTTTTTGTCCGTCCGCCGTACGCCATCCGCGCATTTTCTCCCAAACTACTGGACCAATTTTATTCAAATTTTCATATAAAATCAGAGGTCACTCGAGGATGATCCTCCTTCATCGACATTACTCTCCACCTTTACCTTTCAAAATGGTGGCCAAAAAACCTGCATTGCTATAGACTGTAACTCCTAAACGAATGTACAGATTTCAATGAAACTTCGCTACAGTCATTTTCTCACCGTCCTTTAAATTTATCTATATAACACACTTCAATGAAAAGAAACTGAAAAAAAAGTTACGAGGGATGGTAAAATTAAATTCCAAATAACTCGAAAATTTTTTACTTTTTTGTTGATATTGTGATGAGATGGATGTTTCAAAGGTATTTAAATTTCCTAAAAAATTAAGGAAGTTTCATCGAAATAAAAGCACTATTAGTAGAGATATCGCGGTTTTTACATATTTTGGTTTATTATTTTTAATAATGAAACATTGTGATCAACCAAAAAATTCAAAAACATAACCCCCTCTCAAAATTTGAGGTTTCACGTTTCAAGACGCGTAGAATTCGAAAAATGAATACAAATTTTTTTGTCCGTCCGCCGTCCGCGCATTTTCTCCGAAACTACTGGATCGATTTTTTTGTAGTAGAAAAACAAAAATAATAATTTCCCGTCTACTCTACTGTGCAGGCCATCAGTTCTGTTTTCTACACTCATGGTCAGTTAGAGCAATTGGATTTTAGATGACCGTAACAGAATTGAGCACCAGGCAAATTCCAAACATTCCAAAAAATCCAAAATAGATTTCGTTCATACAGTCATTCGATTTGGCATGGAGCAGTCGATTGGAGTGATCATCAGTAGTTAACTTTAAATGTTGCTGAATTGTAATAATTGTTGATAAGAAGAGTGAGAAAATTAAGTGTATATGACTTAGGTATGCATTGCCATTGGCAGAGTATATAAGTTTATTTTGTGGTGATTATTTAGTTTTTAATATTATGAAAAAATAAATTAACAAAATATTCGTTTATCGTTGGATTATTAAGAACACTCATATATTTTACACTACCTCATTTGAAAAGTAATGAAAGTCAGGCTACATAATTAAAGATCGTAGAACCAAATGTTTTTAGCAAACAATCTTTTAACTACTTAATTCCTAAGTTAAAATAGATAATTAAACCAAATATATTAATTTTAACTTCAAATCTTAGAGAAAATAAATATTTACTATTGAAATACCTGGTGTTAGATGAAGAAGGTGGTGGATTAAAGCTCCAAGTAGAGGATGATAAGCCAAGAGATGGAATGATATCCAAGGAGGAACTAGTGGTAGGTGAGGCTTTGCCAGCTCCAGTGTTCGATGATAATATGTGTGTGTCCTTTATTGAAGGCAAAGAAAGGGGAGACCTCACAACAGAGCCTGGTGTAAGGCTTGGGTCATCTTCAATGCTTTTCAATGGGTTTCCCTACGCAAATAAAACAATCACCTTTACTCCAACAATAAGTTTGATAAAATATAATTATCATTTAAAATAAAAATACAGATTTAGTGATGAGATTTGATATGTGCAAAACCAACCCTGTCACGTAATCTTAGTTCAACAATTTTTAATAATCATGATTCAGATATTAAAATGTTCGAAAAGTTTGATTAAATCAATACAACAGTATTGAAGTGTAATAAAGTAAAGCCTTAAACAAATTCCTTTAATCCTAATGAAATAATTGTAATTATTTTAAATATCACTAGGATGAAAAATCTAAGAGAAAGCCAAGATACTTCACTGTGTCTAAGAAAGGAAGCTGGATGGAATTAAAGTGTACTGGTGGACAGGAATTGCAGTTAAATTCATTTACTTTAATGCACCATTTATGACACCAGTGCTCAATCATACCATTAAAAATAAAAGTTGAAATTTCATTTCAAGCTATGCTATGTTATTACAAGTTAGAAAATAATAACTTTAATACAATCTAAAAATCCATGATGGAAAACTGTATCCAATTTAAAAATGGTATAATAATATTTGTTCAAGATGTTTGTTATCTTTTTACCTTCCAAGGTTTCCCTGGTTCAAACTCAGGAACAAGATCAGAGAATGCTTGCGATGGAGGTTGATTGGAATTTGGCCAATCCTTACCAGAGGCATCATCACCAGATGAATCAGGCCAACTTGACTCACGATTTACAGAAGACCAGGTACTGTTAAGGACAATTGAAATATTTTTAATATATATTTAATGTAAGAAAGATGTAAAAATTCAATCTATACAACTAACAAAATAAATAAACAGTAAAAAAAGGCCAAGAAATATATTTGTGCCATGATCTTAAGATAAGGAGAGTTAATCAAGCTATATTTATATTAAAAAAACTATTAAACATTGAAGGTAACAATTAAAATATAAAAAAGAAAAAAAGAGTAACAATTAAGTTTTTTTTTCACAATTGCACTATTCCCCCCGTTACAGCTTTTTCGATAATTAAAGGACAAACTATCATGTTTTAAATTAAATAATGATTATATAGGACTATAAAACTAATAGTGTATTTTTCTTTCCCTAGAAATTAAAAGAAATAAAACAATGGTGTGGTGCACACATCATACAACTTTCACACTTGCCACTCTTCTTTTAGCAGAAATAGGTATTTTCAGACAAAGGGAAGTGAAAGTAAAAATTAAGAACAGTATAAAATATTAATCTTAATAATTAATTTCTGTATGTTGTTCATAACTATCTAATGTGTTATATTTAATTTATACTTTTTATGTCACTAACTATTTCCTGATACTACTGTAAATCTTTATTAATTATATAATAATACATAATTAAGTGCCATGAAATAATTTTAGTCCGACAAGAGCGCCGCTCATAAAGTAGGCTGTTATATTTATATTCACTTAACTGTGGGTATTTCTATATGTTTAGTGTATGTATATATATGTGTGTATATATATACATATACATATACCAAAAAAGTCTACTGGATTGACTTAGTGATATTTGATTTCGAAAGTAGAAGAATTATGAGTGAAGAATAAGAAATGGTCATTGAGATCATCTGAAGTCACCGGGATGGAACTGAGTTTATATTCAATTTATATGTTTTATACATTAAATACAAGTTAAGAAGTTTATTTTATATTTTTTTTCTTTAATTTAGGTTTTGACTGATTGCTGATTTTGGTACATAATATATATATATATATATATATATATATATATATATATATATATATATTATGTACCAAAATCAGCAATCAGTCAAAACCTTGAACCTTAAACCAGTGAATCTTAAAGAGCTTGAGAATAAATGTAAGAAAAAAATTACACAATGAATAAATAGTATTATTAGTTACTAACTTAATGTTATTCAATACTCACCCATCAGCCTGCCCAAGTAATAGATTAGTATTGGGCGAAGAGGATCCTTGAGCTGACTTAGCAGTTGTACCAGGAGCTCTTGAAAATTCACCTGAACCAATATCTGAGTCTTTTTCTAATGCAGGTAACTTCCACTGATTTAAGCGTGACTGCTGACTAGTTCCACTAGTCTATAAAAGAATGGAGGTATTACAATATTAAATATTTAAATGATTTCCTGATTATAAATGTTACATAAGTAATTTAATAAAAACAGTTATTAACGATAACTTATAAACAATTAAGAATCAAATAAGTAATTGGTTGGTTGGTGAAAATGATACTACAATTGAGCTACCATCCAGAAAAAAACAAAACAATAGTGCCACTACATCCCATGAAGGGTCTTGGGTTTAGAACTTTGTTAGGAAGTACTGTTGTGACATGAGGTCCAGGATCACTGATCCACCAGGTTTTTCCTCTGAATTAATTATTAGTTTATAGAAGCTGGGTGTGCCCCAGGAGAGTCTCCAGAAACCTAAGATCAATCCACGGCTGATGAAACAGTGTTAATAATTACCTGTCACAGCAAGGTTCGACCTAGAGCTAAGCAGCCCAGTGCCTAACTCATGGAGCTATTTCGATTCCTATTTAACTTAACTATCAACGATGTATTTGTAATGAAACCAATTAATAACCAACCTTTGGATTAAATAAAATACAGAAAAAAAGGGTACAATATTTCTAAAAAAGTGCATTTGCAGGCTTTAAAATCTTTGGCTCAGTATGTTTTGAAGCAACTTAATCCGGTCTTAATATCTGCCTTAAAATCTACAAAGTTCAATTCATCCCACCCATCTACTTACTTGCCACTGCCCCAATATTGAAGCCTAGTGGAATTTTTATATCAACATTATTTATTGTTGAAAAAAAAAAAAAAAAAAAAATAGTGACTATAATTCGCTATGCCCCCATTAATAAATCCTGCATCCAATGGTACCTTATAAGGCATCAAAAGAGCATATAGTTGGTACAAAACTGATCTCAAGCCTTAGCAAAATAATATATGTTGGGATATAAAGTAATAATAAATATGACCATTAAAAATAATTTTTCAAAATTTGGTGTCAATAATGTAATTTAAAAGCAGATATGAGGGAAATCTCCACTTCCTTCAGTTGGCACTGAGCATTAAATAAAATAGTTATTAATTTAAAAATTATACTATATCTTTATTTTGTTCACTTTAAATAAGTATGAATAGAATAATAACTAACCGGAGGATCTTTAAGAGAAAGATCAGAAAAATTAGGGTGAAGAGCAGAAATCGGTTCATGTAATGAACTCTTGAAAAATTCGGTGGTCGGCGGCGTATGTTGCTGATGCTTAACATACACGGCTTGCTGAGCAGCAATCTGATTCTAGAAATCACAACAAATAAATTTATTATAATGAAAAGTTTCACAAAATTTTATTTATTGTTTAAATCTAAAATTACCTGAAGATTGGTTATCTGCTGCTTAGTTTTTGTGATCTGCACAGATAATTGTAACAGGTGATTTGAACTAGGTTTACCAAGAGGATTTACTTGCATAACAGTATGGTGTTGCATAAGCTGCTGAAGATTCTTTATCTGTTGTAGAAGTTGATTCAATAAAATAAGAGTTTGTGGAGCAAGTGGTTGGTTTAAAATCTATAAAAAAAAAAAAAAAAAAAAAACAACACATGAGATATTATGTAAATTAAGTAACTCAGTATTAGTCAGCTGATTTTGTGAATATGTAATCATCAAGTAAGTTTGATCCTATTTGTCAAAACTTTTTCGAACTTCACCATAACAGCAGCATTTTTGAGATAGAGAACAGACTCAGTAAGTATTTTTATAAAGGAAAAAACTGTAATACTACAATCTATGAAGGATTATGATGATTTCAGTACTTTGCAAGTACTATTTCTTGGCTGACCATTATGAAAGGCAGTGATCTGTGATTTGACCAAAATTATACATAACTACCGGGGTTATTTATTATAGGGCCATAGCCCAAGAGTTTTTCCAATCCCTAATAATTTTATTTAATGATGCGCTAAAAAATATTTTTATATTCACAAAAAATTATGGATAAATATTCTACTTTAACTAAAAAATATTTATTTTCTCACAAATTTACCCTTCTACTAAATACAAATATTTGCAATCTTACCCACACTTGTTAATCAGAATAAGGTTATATTTGCAGGTGTGGAAAAAAATAAAACAACATATACCACTACAACCCATGAAGGGTCTTTGGTTCTGTACTATTTAAGGAAAATACTATTTTTTAGTCAACAGTTGTGATTTGACTAAGATCATACTCAACCGCCAGGTGTTTCCCCATAACTAATTATTTAATTAAGGGTACCCACTATACAAGGGTTGGGTGGCCCCACGAGGGTCGCCCGCCCCTTGGCCGATGAAACAGAAGAAATAGTTTTTCTTCCATGAGCCGGGATTCGAACCTGGGACCTTGAGCATTGGAAGATCAGTGCCCTACCACTGAGCCACCCCACTTCTCTGTGGAAAAGAATATTATTATGTAAAAATATTTATTTTCCAACAAATTTGCAGGTTTACATACAAATAATTACAATCATATTCACTCCAGTAAATATGAATACAATTGTATTTGCAGGTGTGAAAGACAATATACATTCACGTAATCTTATGAATATTCATAATTACTAGACAAATATTAATAAATGATAAAACTGCTAGATTTAAAGAATATGATATGATAAAGAATATGTTCCTTGCACGTAATCTTAAGAATAAATAGTTTTATTAATTATTAAACAAAAGCTTTCAAACTTTGATTTCATTAGATAATCTGCATAATTGTAGATACATTCACTAGAAACCTTTTTGAAAAATCAGTTTATTGCTTCCTCTCCCACCCCCTCCCCCCTTCTTCTACTTCTATTGGCTTGACAGATCATTACTAGTTCCTAGCCTCTTAAATAATTTCCACCAGTCTGAACACTGTTGGACAGTAGTTCTCCAGTAACTGACCCCCAGGATCGTCAGGGCATCCTCCACTATGCCATCCATCCAAGACGTGTGTCTTTCTCTACACCTGGTACTATGAATGGCATCACTCATTATTTTTCTGGGGATCTCATCCTCTGACATTCTGGCAACCTGGCCAGCCCATCTTAATCTCCTCAGCCTTATATGCTTCTCAATGTCAGGTTCACCAAGGAGATTATATCTTTCTTCATTACTCCACATGGGTTTTGTTTGACTGACTCTTTTAACACCATAAACGTGCCACAGAATTCTTCTCTCAAAAGCCAACAAACTTCGTTCATTCATATATGATCAACTTCTTATACAGTATTAATTTTGTTGTCCATGACAGAGACTTGCTCCTTAAATGTCTTCTTAGCTCAAAGTAACATCAGTTAGCAATGACTTTTGACTTGTTATCCGATCAATTTCCTTTGTGATGTCATTGCCTGCAGTTATCAGAGATCCCAGGTAGACGAATTCACCCACTTTTTCTAACTAATAGGAGCCAAACGGCACAGTATCTGCCAAGGTACCAACCACGGAGGTCATATATATAGTCATATATATTTGGTCTTCGCAGCATTTACATGTAGTATCAGTTGTCCTGCTGTTGCTTCTAGACCGAAGAAGGCCTCACAAGCTGCAACCTGGGATCTACCAACAATATCTAAATCATCCGCCTAACCAAGGATCTAAACTATTCTATTAAACACAGGGCCTTTTATTTGGATCTGTGCATCCTGCACTGCTTTCTCCAATGCAAAATTGGAGAGCAGGCATGCCAGCACATCCCCTAATTTCACGCCATTCGTTGCAAAGCTCATCTCAGACAATTCTCCTTGAATATGCACCACATACACTTGCCACGGTTAATTTAACTAATCCAATCAGTTTTTCTGAGATGTTTAGTTCTCTCGTCACACCGAAATATCCAGAACTTTTTACCAGTTGTTACAGATATAATTAACAATATGTGACAAATTTCAGTTTTTTTTTTTTTTTTTTTGACAAAAGTTAGTGTATTTCCATTAATAAATATAATTACTTGACAAAAACAAGTGATAGAACAATAATAACAGAGATTTAAATAATTATTTACCTGAGGGCTGAGGTAACCAGTTTGCACTGCCATTTGAATCTGCTGAACTAACATTCTAAGCTGCTGAGCTGATGGTTGTTGAGTTTGTTGTGTCCTCGAAGATTGCTGGAATAAGTAAGAAGAAACAATTGAAGGTCAAGTGGATAAAGTTAAAAATTGAAATTAGTACTGAGGATAAAGGAGTTAAGTGGTTTATTTCTTCTTCCATTCCCATAAATTCAATATTTAGTTAATAACTGACAAGGGGATGTTACAGACATGGGTGTCACTCTTTTTGATAATACTTTATTGGTGATACTAGGTCAAAAAATGTAAAAACCATGTTCGAGGCTTCTTCCTAACGTGTCCTAGAAGCCGAGGGAAAACTATTTTATGTAAGATGAAACAAAATTTATGTCATTAATTTTTTCCTTTACTTCGCCAAGCCAAGATTTTTAGGTTATTATATACCAACCTATTTCTTTTTTTTATTTTGTGCAAAATAAGAAAAAAATATTTAAAACATTATTATTAAGTATCTTAAATAACGAAAATCAAAAGATGCTTCTAGTAAAGCAGATCATGTAAATTTTTGTTGTAAAAAAGAAAGTTACGTTAGTTTGTAATGTTCTTTAAAACTCACAAACATGAATGTTTAGAAATATCAAAAATTGCAAATTATAGTATCTGATTTTCTAGAATTGTTTTCATGGCTGTTAACTGAATCATTCATAAATTTTCAGGATTTTCTTAAACTTTAACACAAGTACAACCTATTGGAAAGCTTAATTTATGGTATTCCAAACCACATCCATATCAAAGTTTTGGATTTCATTCATTTTTGAACTATAAATTTAGAAAACTACTTTTATTTTATATCATCGGTTCTAATTTGCTTAATGAGGTGTCGAGTTATATCATTTTGGGTAGCATACAGAGCCCTAACTCAATAATAATTTTTGTGTGATTTAGTGGAGTCATTCTAAAGTTATCACAATTTTTATGGTTTGCGACAAAATTTTGAGTCCCGACCAGGCAAAAATTTGAAGGTCTCGATTTGTAGGAAAATTTGAATTTTAGAGCTTTCTGAGGAGTAAAAAATTAATATCAACTTTGTTTTGCCCTAAAAAAATATTTACCAGAAATACCTAGAAAAAATATTGTATTTGGCATATAGCTATCATATGGGAATAAGCAATGGCCAAAATTAATAAGATATATTTTGTTTGAAATTAAAAACAAAAAAGATTTCATAGCCTCAGAGAGCACATTGGCAAGAACTCTAGGACGTGGGTCTAATATTTTTCGATCTAGTATCGCCAAAAAAAGTTTCATTGAAAACAGTGGACCACATCTGTAACCTCCTCTTGTGAGTTGATAAAGTTGCTTACATCTGTCTTTTAGTAGATGGAGCTGATTTGAATTCAGATCTATCCAGAACTAAAAAAAATGATACTTATTACCTTTATTCCCCAATAGTCCAGCCAATGAGTGCTCAAAAAGGGGGTATGCGGGAAAATGGAAGGAACACAATTCTTTACTTTGGGACTTGGTTTGGCCTAGTAAGGAGTTAATCGTATTATTAGCCCCAATCTCAAGTGACAAGAGGTGAAGTGGTACATTTCTTATATCAGAGAAACCATGCGTCTTAGCAATGAAGACATTCTATACAAAATTAAAGCTCATAAAATTTACAAGATTGATGATATTTATTTTTTCACTATATTGTAAAGTTTCTAATATATGCTCAATAACCACTAACTTTAAAAAAAAAAAATTTCTTTATTTGCTTGGCCAACTCTTTATTTCTACATTCTACGCATCTTGAAGAAATAGTATGACTCCATAATTTTATTAAAAGTCATGAAGAAGAAAGTTGTTAAGTACTAAATTTTCTTCAAAAATATAGATAGATAGATAGAAAAATAACTTTATTCTGGGACACAGAGATAGAAAAATAACTTTATTCTGGGACACAGCCCCTTAAGAATAACAAAGTAGAACAAAATTAAAAGATTACATCTGGCCAAAATAAAATCAATCGAAAAAAAGAAATAATGTAAAAAAAATATAAGGTAAACATTCTATATACAAAACTATATACAAAACAATTAATACTATGACAAGACACTTAAAGCTATTTGCACTGATAGACCAGTATAAACTTTAAATAAAATAAAGAATTAAAAAATAAAAATGTATCAAATTCTCTAATAAAATCAGCTCGAATGGTTAGCAGCTATCTGACTGTTTTTGGGATAGGAATTGGAATAGGAGGGTTTTGAATGTGGATATGGATGGGGAATGTCGAATTTTGACAGGGAGGGAATTCCAGAAATTGACAGAGCGAACAATAAAGGAATTTTGGTATGAGGCAGATCTGTGAGAAGGCATGTAAAGGTTAGAAGGTCGAGATCTTGTGGACAGGGAATGGACTGAGGATTTGAACTGGAGAAGGTTGTAGGCGTAAGGACGATGGTTGTTGATGATTTGGTAGAGAAACATACCTAGGAAATATTGTCTTCGGAAGGAGGGGAAAAGCCACTTTAACTCAGCGCAGTGGGGAGAAACATGGGAGTATCTTGGGGCCCCGATCACAAATCTTACGCAGCTGTTCATTAGTATATATATCCATTAATATATATTATTTCACTATCTTATCTTTGACCCTTCAAAATTATAATTTTAAATTCTTAGTTATTTGGCAATGATTACTTCCAATTAACAACAATTGAATATGTTTGTTGTACTATTAAAATTGCATGTTTACCAGTTAACGTTTCGGGATATTTACTCTTATCTTCAGAACCACAATCCCAATGATCTTGCAGATACATGGCTTAAAACTAATGTGCTCCATCGTCAGTTTCTAATTCATGTTATAATAAATCTAGGTATATAACATCTAGAGCAACATCTTGCTTTTAGACTAATTATTGGGTGTCTGAGGTGTCTGACACATGAGTATTACAAGCATATATATATTTTACTATTGATGATTTTTGAATTGTAATATACAAATACTTGAAAATCAAATGCAGCTAAAGCATATAAGAATACATAATTTGTGAAATATAAAATCCTCTGGAAGAGTTTATCTCTAATAAAAATAACAATATAATTATAATCTATTCATCTACAAAGCCAGATAAAAAAATAAAATAATTGTTAAAACCTGGGCAAAAGGTTGCTGCTGCGGAGGTTGCTGTGCAAGCAGTTTCTGCATTACTGCAGGAGTTATTGTAGCCAAGGTAGGCCCACCTCCTGGTCCGCTCCCAGTTCCGCCACCACCCCCACCCTGCTAATAATAATAAAAACTTCAATAATATACAACAAATTAAAACTTGTAAACATTTTATTTTTTGTTATCTTACTATTGGTCCCTAATCAGTTAACTGCGACAACTTTTCTTTTACGATACTAACAGAGATAACCAACATAGGACATATTTGCACTAAAAATGAACAGACCCAGAATTCACAAAAATTAATCTGACATCACGTTCAAGATTTTTATTTCAGAATAAAATGTCAAAAGAACTAACCATCTTGAACAGCTATAAATATCAGATCATTGTGATCACTTAATTTTATGTTAAATAGAATTACATAGATACAAGGAGAAGTATCTCAAGACTTAAGTAGTGAGATAAACTCTCGTTGATGCTGTTAAACTTAGGTAGTGTCATATAATGGCCAAAACGTTTGCACGAATGTTCACAGCAACGTTTATAGTATAGCAAGTTCATAATTCATATATATATAATTTGAAATAATCTATAGTTTAATTATAATAAACTTTTAATTTACGTTGAAATCACTAAGGTATATATATTTATATATATTTTTATTTTTTTTTTTTTGGAAGCCAAAATTTTGAATGAATTTCTGAAATAAAGATGTTATGTTGCTAATATAATAGAGAAATTTAGATATCCTAAAATATATTCGAAAAGCTAAGAACCAAATGTAACAAATCTAATCCTGTTCTTTTGAAATATAATTGGTGAGCTCGCCTTAAATTATTGTTAGGTACTACAAAGGAAGGTGATTTAGTTTAAGAAACTGATCCAGTCATAATTAGAGCTAATATTGACAGAATATTAAATAAATATTAACGACCTTTGCAGGAGGGTGACAAAAAAGCATTGCATAGCTCAGCCAGCTTACAGTGAACATTTGAACGGTTTTTTAACAATGATAAGATCTCCCAATATCTGTTGATGGCGGATAATTTCAAATATACTAGAGTATTAATGCAGATATATGTCTCAGGAAAATACATGATCAAGTTTTCAGTCAACAATAAAATTTTGAAATCCACAACTTGAGTGCAAAATGTGCAACACCATGGAAAGAGATACTTCTATTTATTACTTAAATGCCCAATATATAACAATTTGAGATAAGAATTTACTAGGTTGTGGGAAATCTTAATGGGATATATTTAAGACAACCTCTACAGAAATTATGAGAAAACTATATTTTTTCAATCTAATATATCTAATTCTAGAGATTTGGCAGGGTAATTTCAAATATTGTCCTCTAAGTATTGTAGCCAAAATGTAGATAGCATAGATTATGTTAAATATTAAACAGATTTGTATAGGTCTTGTTCTCTAGTTTGTTTCTCTGTTTATGCGAATAATCTACTAATTCAATTTTAGAACATGATTTAATAATAATATTTAAAAAATAAAATGCATTTATTATTTTGGTTTGTGTTCTGTCGACAATTTTAGATTTTATTTTAATGTTAACTAGTTGACCCGTGCGAATAATTCACAGAATATTTATTTTAGTGAAGGAATAGCAAAACAATATGGAAATATGTAGATCCTATGTATTATCTGAAGGAGGAATTAATTGTTTTTTCCTTGGTCGATTACAATATTACATTTAACATAGTAGACCAAAATATTGCTTTGCTAGGGTCTATTTTTAAACGCTGACTGCAAAGACAATAAAGAGGGAAAAAAAAAGCCTCAATCTTGGTCGATTACAATATTCCATTTAACATAGTAGAACAAAATATTGCTTTGCTAGGGATTATTTTTAAACGCTGACTGCAAAGCCAATAAAGAGGAGAAAAAAGCCTCAATCAAAGGATTTTCTAAATTATTAAAAAATATAAAATGCAAGAACAAATGCCCTTAAGAAATAATATAGTTAATATACCAGCCAAGAAAAAAAATGTAGTAGAATAATAAATACAATATCTTTAAAGACAAAGAAATTATTAAGTATACCCAAATTAATGGACTGTATCTTATCTTAGTAAATAATTGTCCGAATTTTTTTTTTTTTTTTTTTCGGCAACTTCGTAATCTTTCTAATAATCATGGCTACTATCAAGAAAAAAAATCATACTTATAGAGATATTCACTTAAAAAGTTTCTTTTCCTTCATAAATTTTATCACAAAAATTTCCAGAGGAAAGGACTATTTTTGGTAGGTAAAGGAGGTGAATATCTTCAAAATGAGTAGTCAATCATTGGATTTGATAAAGAATTGACAAAGTTATGGCTTACTGACAAAAGAACAGCTTTTAGAAATAATATATAATTGACATTACTTTAACTGTTAGACTTTTGAATAAATATGATCTATAAGTTATTGTTAAGATTTTTGTAATATTTATAATGTGGCGTAAAAAGAAAAAAAAAATTGTAATACTCTAAGAGGAGTAATGTTTATAATATAGAAATAGTCTCTATTTGTATGGAGTTCTTCCCTTAAAACAAATAAAGATTAAATAAATAAAATAAATATAAAAATCCAGGTTTAACACATTACATATTCATGATGAAATTTTTAGGATATTCCAAGATAAAAACAGTTAATTATTTATATAATAAAGTGTTATGTACTGGAATAGTTTTATGTTAACTATATAGAACAGGATTAGTCTAAAACAACCTAAAGGATAAATCCCAGAGTACCAATTCTAGTCCTCCAACATGACATATTGTGACACACATTGCCTAGGATTGGGCTTTACTAAGGAACAAAAAGTGCTATGGATTAAGAGCACAAAACGAAAGGAATGTTTTATTAAACATCCTTCTTCTCTTTTCTTAGATAAAGTCAAGAAGCACCTAATAAAAATCTTCAATAAGAAAAAAAGAGTTCCACCAGCAGGTTCAGGTTCAGAGCTATCCTAAATGCTTCATAAAATTAATTAAATTTATTTTATCAAAGACACAGTAACTTACTTATTTTAATAATTAAGCAGTTAACACTGAACAAAATGTGAATATATACATAAAAGAAGACAAATACAACAATCAGAGAAAAAAATTTGAGCATCAATTAAGTAATAAAAATAAGGAATAGAACAATCATTTTATCAAAACTTATTTATAATCTTACCGGATAAGGAGCAAGACAGATGGTTTGTTGAGGTGAAGGAAATGCAGCATTCATAATAGCGGCATGTTCTGGGTCTAAATCACCATGGCGAGCCCATCTTTCACCACCGCCTCCAGAACTTAGTCCTCTGTTTGTGTTCAGCTGATCCAATGCATCTTCAAGGCTCATGCCAGAACTTCTTAATGCACTTTCTATATCCTCTTTCTATTTAATTTATATATAATAAAGACAATTAATGCATAATATATTTCTCATATAAACATTGATATATTATAATGAGGACCAACATCTTAATTTTATGAGGAATAGATCGTACAAATTAATTTTTGGACCTTAAAACTATTTATAAAAAATTAAAGCAAATAAAATAATACTTAAAAAATATAAACATAGGAACATCCACATCAAACCATAATGTTTACAAAAATCAACATTACTTAATCCTAGAGCAACACACTGGGGTGTGATATATAAGCAGCTGTTCGGCTAAGTACTTCCACGTAATTCTCCACGCATCTTAAAATACTATAGAAATGATTATTATATTCAATCAATACATGATTTATGTTTTTGCAAAAAGACATTTAATCCTAGTTTTTATTTAATTTATACAAAATATTTTTAACACAAATTTTTATATTCTCCTTATTATAACGTTTTGTTCCTAAAAGCCATTTCCAAACATTCCAAAGAAAAATAACGGTTGTCATAAATCATCCGTTGAAAAATATTTTTTTAGTTTCCTATTCTATGGCAGCAATTGATCGATTAAAATCTTGTTGTTTTTTTTCTAATTTTCCTACATCTATAAATAATTGAGCCTTTTTATCTTTCTCATTTTGTCAAAAATACCTGTCCTGCAAATATATAAACTTCTAATAATGTCATAAATTCAACAACTTATACAATATTTTTTTATAAAAACCACTATATCATTAAAATCTTTTTTGGAAAAAAATTATTGTATTATGGAAACAGTATTTCAAAAAAACAGCCACCTTATTTTCATTGATTTCCACCCACAGTTTCATTTTTCTTCACACAGTAGTTCTTATTCCTTATAGCCCTGGAGCCAGGGCTCAAAAATCGACCTGATAGTTGGCGAAAGTTTTGTTCGTATATAAAGGAAAGACTTTCGACGGACTGACCTAAGTTGTCTGTCCGAATGAGATTTATCTAGAATTTAAAATGGTAACTAGCTATAAGTTCTTCCGTTAAATGAAATGGTTGGTAGCTCCTAGTATAAATCTACTTCTCCCTGTATTGAAAATTCCCTGGCTTTTTATTATTTTTTCAGATTCGTCGCCACACTGTATTATTACTTAGGTTTTTCCTAATGTAAAGAAAGGTTTATACTTACCTAATAAATGGCAACCACACCACTATTATAACACATGTAAAGTACTGTAACACTATTTAAATAAATGTCTTAAAAAAAAATAAAATCATAACTTCAAATTTTGGAAATTACCTTGAAACCCATTTCAGATAAAATGCGAAACTGCTTGCTTGTCCATATAAATTCTTTTGAAACAGACTTGGAAGGCTATAACAAAAAATAAATTATTTGTATTAAAATTAATTTATATATATACATACTTTATAAGTATATAAACAAAATAAGATCCTAAAAACTAATTGATTAAAAATCATATCGTGAGTTTGCGGCAAAAAGTCATGAAATGACATTTCATAAACTTAAATAATTATGAACTTTGAAATCAGAAAATTTTTGGATATGCTAATCGATATAAAAAATGTACTTAGTGACTGTGCGATAAACGGATAACCAATTAAAGAATAACAATAAAACAAACGTTTTGGCAGTCAGCTTGTACTTCCCTTGGTCGATAGTTTTTTTTGTTTAAGTAAGAAAACAGAATAACTTCAGTTATAGAGAAAAAATTCACCTCTTATGGTTTTTCTTACACCTCACATGGTTTTTCTTACACCTCACTTGACATATTTATTTCAAAATTCTTTTCTTTATTACAAATGATTCATTTCTAATGTTACCTAGTTTGTCTCAATTTAATTTATTATCATTTGCTACATATCCCACAGTCTCTTCCATTGAATGAATGACAGTGGAGTAAATGTTTATCATTCTATTCTGGTGTAATCTTACCTAATTATTTTTTCAAAACTTTTTTTAAGTTTCTGAAAACTATTTCTCTTTTCCACACTACATTTTATGCTTGTCTTCATATTGGAGATAAAATTTTCCTTGTTTTCAAACATGAGATTTTCCGGAAAGAATTTTGTTGTATTGTTGTACTGTATTGCTATATTTATTTAAACTCTTCAGCATTTCATTAATGGGATTTTGTTGATATCTTAATTTAATTTACAATGAATTATATGAGGAAGTTAGTCGACTGTACAACATATCATGGGTGATAAATAATCAGGACTCAGTCATTATAAAGTTTTTATTAGTGCCGATACCAAAACATGTAGGTCATTCATTATCTGGGCGTGTTTCGAGCACTGAAGGTATTTAAGTACTGGAGTACTTTTTTGCCTTCAGTGCTCGAAACACACCCAGATGACGACTCAAATGTTCGGGTTTAAACATCGGCACTAATAAAAACTTTATAATGACTGCATCCTGAACTTTATCACCTGTTAATTTACAATGAATTCTGGTTACGTAAGTTTAGTTCAAACATTCGTTTAATCCTTTAGATTATGGGTTGTAGACTGATACATTAAATTTATGAATTCCCGTTCTTTTGAAATTAATATCTTGCCAAATAAGTTCTAACATACCATAACTTTGTCTTTAATAAAAATGAATTAAGTTAAGCTAACCAGATAGATTCTAACATATCAGTTAAACAAACAGCAACTATTTCAACAAGCTTGACACTGAAAATTGAAGAAACATGAGAAAAAATTGTCATTATCTCTCTATAACACTGACAACACAACCTAAGACCAACATTTCCTCAATATTTTATTCACTTGTTACCAGGCATTAATAAAAAAATTAAATTATTTGACTAAAAACAAAAATTTCCATTAACTGCTTGCTTTCTAAGTATAATTCCGTATTTCTGTCAACACAAAAAAATTAAGCATGAAAAATACATTGTTAATGGACACTATTTTACCTAAATAAATAAACCGATAATGGAAAAACATTTGCTCTATTAACAATTAATCTTGATCATATCGGGAATCATTAATTTTATGTACAGTTCAATAAAAGTTCAGTTTTGGACATTGGCCATTTTGGGTTCATGGAAAAACTAACTCTAAGAATATTGTCTCTAACAAGATTACAATTTATTATTTTTTTTTATACTTTTAGAATTATTGCATTTTTTCTTCTTTGGGGTCACCGGGACTGCAAATAACCACAATTAAATTGTTTACCTTAAAATGATTACATTTGTTTTGATCACAATAGATTTTTAAGAAGCATAATATTGTAAGAAACAAAAAACAAACCTGTTTCGAGTGAACCCAAGAAGTGGGATCTAAATCAGATCCATCCCATGCTGGCTTATGTTTTGGTCCACCTTGCCATGAGGAAGGAGCTAGGCCTTGATCCATCCAAGGAGCAGCAGAAGGAGTTGGTTTTTCATCACCCCAAGGACCACTATCCATTCCTCCTTCCCATCCCCGTTCATTTCTAAATTAAATAAAGTTTTTAACAATAAACCTGAATAGATTTTTAGTATTTCATGTTAATTAGTATGTACAATAATTTTAAATTAAAAAAGTGATTCAACTGTTACCTAAGCAAATCATAAAACTGATAAGTAATCATCACGAGAAGTAATAAAAATCCAATAATGGAAAATCAGTAAATTGTGTCCGTAAAGATTTGTTTGGTAATCTGACTTTTTTGAAACCACAAATAAAGTTTTAATATAGTTATTGTTTAGAAATGATCAAATTATTTTTATATGAAAAAAATAAAATAATTCGAATATAGTCACAGTTCTGTTTGCTTAATATTTTCTTAAACATTTTTATTGTCCTTATGGTTCATGTTTTCTAGTAGCTATGTTAAAATTACTGCCATAAGAAACTACTAACCGAGGATGATGAGGCCATAAAGGTTGATCAGGTTTCATAGTAGGGTTTGCACGACCGGGAGGACATTGTAAGCCACCTCGTCCAATACCAGGGGCAGGCATTTCCTTCCAATGAGAAACCTTATTTTGGCCTGGATAAAGAGAGAGAAAATAGACTTACAGAATACAGAAAATTATAATACAATACTCTTAATTTTTGTGTCTTAAATTATGTTATGTTTTGTTTAAGAAAAAGGTCATTATATCACTAATTTTCATCTTTATTTTAAAATTTTGACATCTCAGCTAAAGCTGGAGCCATTCATTTCTTAAGTCTAATTTAGTAAAATCAGATGAATATTATTAGCTTATCATAATACTAATACTTTTCTACTTTTTTTTTTTTTAAATAAGGCTTGAGAATGGCTCCAGGCTCAGCCGAAATGTCATCATCAAAATTATAAAACTAAGAACATCAAAGATAATTTAATGACCTTTTTCTCAAACACAAGAATTTAATTTTTAAATGGACAAAAGGAAGTCACTGATTTCAACGAATTTTTTTTTTTTTTGTGATTCTGCATTGATAAATATTGGATTAATATCCAGACATTCATTGCAGTGGGCCTTAAGGGCAAAGATAAAAACTATTTTATATTAAGTGCAGTTGATGGAACATTAATTTTCTGTTAAGTTTTGTGTGAATAGGTAGAGTCATATACTTTCATGATACCATCAATCTTTTACACAGACATATGTCTTACCGCCAGCATATTCTATGGTTCCTTTACTTTTTAATGGTCTATGACCGAGTAGAGCATATTTAACAACAATATTTTGAATTACAATATTGAAAAAGAGCTTATTATAATATATCTCAATATATTACACAATATGTATTATTTATAAAAACATAAGGACGAGATTTTATAATTTTATACATAAATATGAGTAGCCAAAATAGGACTTGCTTTAACAAGTCTTAAAGCCAAAAAGATCATAAATATGAGTTTATAAGATAAAATAATGTAATGATTAAATATCTATGTAAAGAACATATAAAATAAAATAGCTAAGATATAAACAAAACCTCATATTCTTTTCCATTTTAAGCTCATATTTTAAAGATATTTCATTTTGTTTTTGTAATCAGTTCTTTCTCATTCACTTCACTGTTCGGTGCTGATAGTAATACAAGAAAAACTTGTACGTCTACATAAATAAAGGCTGTATTTTTCACCACATTTATTTCCATTTCTCCTCCACAGTGGCTATGTTTCGGCTATGATGCCATTTTCAAGCCATTTAGTTAATTGCTTATTCAATTCAGTCCATAATTGGATTATAATCCCAAAAATATATTATGTATAATTTATGGTAGATTAATGTATGGTAAAAAGTTATTTAATTTCATAATTTTGAATGAGTGCTAAGATGTCATAATCCGACGTAAATAATACTCTTTGAGTTCTTATTGTGTATTTGTTGTTCTAAATAAATAGAACTTGTTAGATGCGTTTCGTTTACTTCATGCATAACCTTACTATATATAAAGTAATGATAAAACGTATTATAAGAGAAAAGGGCCTCAAGAGAAATATGAAAGACCATTGAAAAGCTATGTTGAGAGAAAATAAATATTAAATGCATTTTTTTAAAAAAAGTATATTTTAACTTTAATAAATTCAGTTCCACATTGCTAACCATCATCATGCGACAACCTGAAAAAATATATAAACTAAATTTAATTCTTTAATATGAATTAAAATACCTTGAATAGTTGGCCTAGGATGCTGTGGCCCCCAAAGTGATGTTCCATCATCATAGTTAGGCATATTCCTTCGTTGGGCTGGAGGTGAAGGCTCCTCCCAACCAGTTGATTTACCACCAAGACCAGTCATGTCCTTCATTGGAGGTCCAGAACTGCTCCATTGATTAACTGAAAACAATTTATATAAATAAAACCTTAACTTTAAAAGTTATTTACACATCTCAACATTTAAAAATGATAATGAGTAATTAATATTAAACCTGGAGGTTTTTATATTTTATTTGATAATACAGTATTATGAAAAAACTTGTTTATCAACATATTCAACCATTTCTCCCAATTGGGAAACCCTACCACACTAAGTCGCAGTCATAGAAATTTTATCATCTATTTCTTTTGATTCTTATGTTGATTAAGTTAATCCATTGAATGTTTTTGTTTTCCTTTATTTATTAAGGTTACAAGAAAACTTTAACAATATTTATCAGTTCATTTTTAACTAATGGCAGGGAAAAAAAGCTGTAATTATGACCTCTATCAAAAACTGTGCTTGTCAAAAAAACATTAAAATTATGACATTACATGAAGTAAAGTAATTTTCACAGGATATATTAGCAGGAATAGGGTACCATCAGTCAACAGTAGTCATGGTTTTGAAAAAAAAAAAAAAAGGCACCATGGAGCGAAAGAAACTGAGGAGAAAAAAAAACAAACTTTTAGACTGCTTAATGGTGAAATTTTTTATAGAAAATTGTTTCATTACTGACACAGAAATATCCAGCCATCTTGAAATTTAATAACATTTTTACTGGGTGTTACTATTTCTATGATGAGACTGTGACTGTACCTTCTACCCCCAAAACAGGATTTATTTGAAAGGTGCAGAGCAAGAAATTAATAAAATTCTCCACACAAATCTATATCATAACATATTACTTACTTCAACCTGGTTAAAAATTTTAGATAAAATAGATAACACTTATAAATAGAAAAACTGTACCCCGAGACTACAGATTGGCAAAGAGAAAACTTGTCGACCCAGAATAGGACTTCATAGCCTGCATGATATGTCAAATGATAATGGGAGAAGATTAGTACATTTTGCTGCCTCAAATGGACTAACTGTTGGCAGCACGTGTTTTCCTCCTAAAATAATACATGGAAGAAGTTTGGAGTAAATGGCCAATTAACTATCTCACAAATCGATCTTGTAAACATGGCACAAATCATCACTGATGGACATAAGGTCTTATCGAGCAGCCAATATAAATGGATATTTGAAATGAAGAAAGATCACCACCTGAATTGAAGAAAACAGTGATTTGTCCTTTTCATAAGAAAGGAGATGTATATTAATGCAATAATTATAGAGGAATCTCAGCTCCCAAACACATACAAGATTTTTTCCATCATTTTATTTAACAGACTGCTTCCACATCACAAGTGCAACCTGGGAAAATATTGCATGGGTTTTGAAAAAGTAAATAAACCACCGATCCAATTTTATTTATTGGAAACGGACCTTATTAGAAAAGACAAAAGAATATCTGATTCCAACGCACCATCTTTTTATTGATTTTCAACAGGTATATGATTCTGTTAACAGAGCGATGATAGACATGAATATTCCATTAAAACTGGTTCCTCTTGTGAAGATGACGATGGAGGACAATTATAGCTTCATAAGGATGAATAGAAAACTGTCGAGAGGAATTTCCACTGAAATGCGAGTTAGACAAGGAGATATGGGAGATTGCCTAGTATTCAACCTCTCTCTGGATTGAACTCCATGATATTCCAGATATCTCACTGAGTTGATCAATGATTTGGAGACGGTCTTCACTAATGAGAGCATTGATTATGTTGAGGGGCACCCTGCACAGGATTGGTCTTCAATTGACATTTCTTAATTTTTATAAAAAGTGTAAGCCACTCGAAGACTATAGTTTTACTTATGGCAGCATCCCTATAAGCATTTTTAAACATTACAATAGTTTCCACAGCAGATTTCCTAAGAGAAAACAAATTTTCACAGCCGTGCGTTGCTCTTAACAATCGGTCATCACATTTTCAGCGAACCAGATAACAATAGGTATGAGAAAATATAAACATTGAATAATAAAAAGTCAAAATTAAAAAAGGTGAAAGGTATAGACTTAAAAATGTGCTGCAATTGGGTTCTTTAGATTTCTATCGTATCCAGATATAATATTCTATGTTTGTATCAGTTTCTCAAGCTAATCTGCAATTGATTAATTGCCTTTAGCTTAAATAGGAACATTCTGATATGATATTGGGATTTTTCAAACTGAGAAATAAGTAATAACAGGAACAAAGCAAGGACCAATGAAATAAACATAATAAAAAAAAATCCATATTTCCGTCTCTATTTTGTATATATTGGATACATTTTCTCTCATTTATCTTTTTATATGTTATAAAATAAAGTATTTCTCTCTTTAACTTTTTATTCTCTTATACGTTGTCAGTATTTTTTATATATTTTACAATATCTTAATTTTCTATTTATATCTATTATTTCCTTATATTACTTCATTTTTCTTTTCTCTGTTTTAAATTTTATGCGATGATTACCATTTTTCATTTCTTATTTTGATTATGTTTATTTCATTGGTCAGTGCTTTGTTCCTGTTATTATTTATTTCTCAGTTCTCTGTTACTGTTATTATGCTATCTACTTTATTTTACTTTAATAATCACTCTATCACTTCCATTAACTTCAAGTTTTTTCTTCCTATATATTTAGTCTATACCTTTCCTTTTTTTAATTTTAATTCTTTATTATTCAATTTTATATTTTCTCATACCTATTGTTACCTGGTTCTTTTCTAAGCCGTGATGAAGGCCTGAAGTTCGGGACGAAATGTCGGCAAAAGTAAAAATAAATAATATTACTTATTTTTACTATTTTTATTTCGAATGATCGCCCCAACCATCTTTCTCTTCAATTATTCTCAACAGTCAACCATCAACCCACAATTACTTAATTAATTTCACTTTCTTACTTAATTAGCTTAAAAAAGAAAAGAGCTTCAAAATGTTTTGTAAACTACCTGGTTGGTTAGGTTGAGAAGGTAATTTCCCTTGATGATGGGGTATATGGTGATGAGGTCCTGGGCCAGGCCACATGGCTTCACTTGATACTCCATTAAGCCGACCACTGATTCCTCGTGGGTCACCTCTCATTATAACATCATTACCTCCCATTGATCTGAAATCATGGGAATAATTTTATTAAAATTTACTTATTAAAATTAAAATTTAATATTAGATTAACTAGTAGATAATTTATGACTGTAGACTAACCTGTGATCAATAGAGGTTGGTCTCATATGATCTCTAGCATCCATCATTTGTCTCATTTCACTGTGACGAAGGTCTCTTGTGTCACGCTGATCATTCCAGTTAGGTCCTCCCCAATCTCCTTCTTTTTTAGTTGCTAAAAAAATATGGTATACTTGGATTAGAATTAAGCAGATAAAATTAACTTTTATTGATAATGAGTCAGACAAAACTTATCTAAAACAATTTTATATTCTCATCTCCTAAAATATTATTACAAACCAATGCATGTCTGGAATAAAAGTTCTAACAAGGGTGGAAAATAAGTAGCAATCCGAATCAAGCTTGTAACCCCGAACTAAAATGACCAATCACAAAAAAAAAAAAGACAAAAAACATCTTCAGTTTGATGGAATCTTAAAACCATAAAACCATGGACTTCGTTTAATTATTTCTGGTATATAAAGGACAAAATATAAGGAATCTATTTAAATATAAAGGTATATAGACTTTACCAAGTTATGCAAAATTTATAGCAAATATCTAACTTTTCCCAATTATACAGGAAAAGCCAAGTGTTTACATTCACACACACCATAATAAAATAATTGGTTAATTGAGCTCAGGGAACACTCAGGTCAAATTTTAATTATAAGATTATTTTATATTTATTTGTACGTTTCAGGGATACTCTGTCTCTCTCCTTAGGATATAATTTTCCCCAGTATTGGATAAGTCTTAGTAATAAGCTTGGTCACTGACAATCGTTCAACAGTCGAGTGTTTGATTATTGACTAAGATTATAACTTAACCAATACTGGGAGAATTATACTCTGAAGAGACAGACAGAGAATGCTACAAATCGAGAGTGATTATTTATTAAGTAAGGGCTATGGGGAAGAAGTAGGGAGAGAATAATTATTGAGAAAGATCAACAAATAATTCTTAAAAAAAAATATTTTTCATTTATTACCTTTGGAAGAAAATCTATTCCTACAAATAGGAGTGGGGTAGCTCAGTGGTAGGGTACTGAGCTTCCAATGCAAAAGAACCAGGTTCGAAGTTTTCTCATGACAGAATATTTATTTATCTGTTTCATTGGCCGTGGGGCGACCCAGGGTCGGGAGACCCTCCTGGGGCACACTCAGCCTCTATAAAGGGGGTACCCTTAATTAAATAATTAATTAAGGGAGAAAACCTGTCGGTTGAGCGTGATCTCGGTCACATCACCTCCTTGCACAACCGTTGACCTAGAAACAGTGCTTTCCCAAAATAGTAGTGAACCAAGACCCTTCATGGGTTGTAGTGGTAGTTGTTTTTTTTTGTTTTGTTTTCTATACAAACTAGTTGGCCCGTGCGAATAATTAGCAAACAATTTTCTTTAGTGAAGGAATAGCAAAACAATATGACAATAAGTAGATCCAATTTATTATGTAAGGGAAACATTAATTGTTTTTCCTAGGTAGATTACAAAATTCCATTTTACTTAAGAGACCAAAAGATTTGTATAAATTGCTTTGTTAGAGCCTATTTCTAAATGCTGACTGAAAAGGTAACACTCAAAATAAAGCCTCAATCATGAGATTTTCTAAATTATTAAAATGTTTCTAAAAAATATAAAATGTACAAACAAAAAAATGCCTTTAAGAAATAATAAAGTATATATCAGCAAGAAAACAAAAGGTAGTAGAATAGTAAATACAGTATTTTCAAAAAGGAAGAAATTATTAAGTATACTAAAACTAATGGACTGTCTGTATCTTACTTAATAATTGTCCTTTTTTATTTTTAATAATTACTTTTTGAATTATTCGCAAATAAAGTTTCTTTTCCTTCATAACTCTTTTCCAGAAATTTCGGGACGATAGGACTATTTTTCGTATGTGAAGGAGAAGAATATCTTTGAAACGAGAAGAGTATCTTTGAAGAACAAGAAGAATATCTTTGAAACTAGTTGTCAATCGTTGGATTTCATGAATAATTGACAAAGTCGTGAAGTAGCGATAAACACCTTTTAGAAATAATATATAAGATAGTATTTGTTCTTTACCAGGCCAAATGGGAGGTGGCTGAGCAGGCCACTGAGGACCACATCCTGTCTGAGCTTGAGGAACCCCAGTCCATACATTAGAAGCATCACCTTCATCATCTTCACCCCAGGTACCACCAATGTTAGTGCTCGGAGTATGAACCCAAGGAGTTTTCTGGCTTTGTTGGCTGACAGGAGGAGGGACACCTCCGTTTCGGAGATTAGCTTCCCAAAGGTCAGTTCCTAAATCAAATTAATTTGAAAAATAAACATATTAACAAAAAATAATTATAAATTGACATTCAATTGTTTCTACTAGAGAATATAGGTTTCCAAAAAAAGAAGAAAAATTGTATCAGGTTTTATAACATGAAAAATATACCATTTTTTGGGTGGCCTGATGAACTGCGGCCTTAAAAGGCATATTGTCTCCAATACTATTAATATCTTTTCTTTTAAATTGAAATAAAAAAATAATCAGCAGTAATAATACTCTGATCAAACATTCATAAATTTAATAATAATATTGCCAATCTATAATGGTATAATATAATAACTTATAGTAATTATTATAAGTTAAATAATAATATAATTAATAAGATTATCTAATTGACATTGAGGAACCAAGTTTATGTGATAGAAAAAAAAAATAGTTCACATAAGGTGGAATATTTCCCAGTTTTTAAGTGTTTTAAACAAAATTCTTCTTTACTTCCTGTTTTTTATCTTTTGGCACTTTCCACCAAATATGAAAGCCCTGTTTTGAGTGATGTGAGTAGATTAGGTACTTGTGAGCGACGCGGCCTCTATGGACTACTATCTGCAGTTATCTTGTTATTTAAAGTGTTGTTGTTATTTATATTTCTTATTATTAAATTAAGATATTATTATTACATTTATATTTCTTATATATATATATATATATATATATATATATATATATATATATATATATATATATATATATATATATAATATATATTAATAAGAAACAGGTAAAAAAAGAGGCATCACCAAATATATTTATATTTCTTATTATACGAGAGTCTAATTTCATATGAAGATAGGGTTTATCAGTGCCTTATAACAATTATCAGTGTTCAGGTTATAAACATTTAATAATAAGAAATATAAATAATAACAACACTTTAAATAACAAGATAACTGCAGATAGCAGTCCATAGAGGCCGCGTCTCTCATAAGTACCGTAGATTAAATGCCAGAAGATCAGAACAATCTCAGCTGTTTCTGATTTCAAAGTTTATAGCTATGACTAACCCTTTTATCTCCTTTGGTTAATGACTAAATTTATTCATAATTCATATATAACCATTTTTTTATTACTTCAATGGAGAAAACACCTTCCTTACATAAGGTCCCCTTGATTTTACATTGGTCTAACAAGTTTAATCAAAATCATTAGAAGCTATCTTTTTTTTTTTAGAACACTGTAAAAATGAGTAAACTTTGTGACATAAAGTGCCATTCATTTCCGGTTAGTCAATTCTGGCAAATTTTGGTTTTATATGATTTTTCATTTTTGAAAGAGGCTGTCCACACAAGTACACAAACTTTTTTTTGCCTCAGAGAACCTCAAAAAATTTGTATTACTGTTAAAATCTCAAATTCAAAGTTGTTCATGATCACAAAAGTCCCCTTAATATATATTTCACATATAGGAAAATAAACATAAGAAGTAATAAGTTAAAGATTTTGAAATGAAATAAGTCTGAACCTAGATCATCATTTTAATCAAAACTAACAACCATATGATCAATTAAACCTATTTCAATATATTGGCATATCAGACCTTTACTTTTTGACATTATTAATCAGATTAAATATATCTTATAACATCAAAAGAACAGGAAAAATTACCATTATTAATAGGTAATTTCCAAAGAGGAACAGGAGCTGCATTGCTGCTGTCTTTTGTGCCTGGTTCCGGAGAACCCGGTATATCCCAATTACTGTCTTGGTTGACATTTTGCTATAAAAAAAAATTATATATATATATTAAAAATGCATAATACTGAAAATTTGAATATTGAGACCTTAATTCTAAAAAGATTTAAGAATTCATATTTTAGAACTTATATAAAAAAATTTTGGTGATAACTTATATTAAAATAATTTTCACTGAAATTATAATAATTTAAAATTATAATTTAATATAATTTAAAACTGTAGCTGAAAAAGTTCTATTTATATATTTGTACTAAACATTTTAATTAGAAACGGTTAAATAACTGTTTAAGACAATACTAAACAAAAACTGCTACTTAAATTCCTCCCTCCCCTCCCCCCCCCCCAAAAGAAGAATAAACTGAATTATGACTAGCTATTCAACTATCGATCAATAACTTCAGCTTTAAAAATAAAAATAAAATATTTAATCAAAATAATTTAACAAATAACACAAGATTTCTTTCTTTTTTTTTTAACAGGAGGCTTTGGTATATAATTATTTTAAAAAATTGAAAAGCACCTGACCCTATGTTGTATATTTCACTCTCTTTACAAGCAGATTTGCAGAAATTTCAATTCAGGTACCAAAGAAAGTTGAGTATCATGGTTTTGTTTCTGAACTGAATGAGATCACCTTCATGATAAGAGTAAATATTTTTAAAGTTATGACCCATTTTAGTTGAGTAATACCTAAAAATCACTATATATATTTTTAAACAATAAAATTTATTAATTAACCGATTAAATAATTAAATAACCTTTTTTTTCAAATTACTTCCGATATCACCATTTCTGGCATATGGAGAAAAGGGAGATAGAATTTCAATGAAATTTTTTTATGAACGATTTAACTTTTTTTAGCATTTGGAGGGAGATCTTTAATTTAATTGTACTAGATTATACTTGAACATTATATGAACAACAATAAATTTCCATTAAAAGATACACAACAAATAACAATAAATGTTATCCCAAATTTCAAGAACAAAATAATCCTGTACTGAAGACAACAAATTTGTCTTAATATTTCAATAATAAAATCCTACCATACATTTTCTCTTAGTTGACAAATACTGGGGCTGTTTAACCTTATTTATAAACAGAAACGTTTAATCTGTAACACATCAGTTACACCACATTATTGGCACCATTTTGATTCTTCAACAACTGACAAAGGTTTTCAGCTCCCTACACTACAAGGTTTCATATAACAGCATCATTTTAATAGTGTCGAACATATAGAGTTTGTGAATCCAAACTACCATTTGCGGACTGCATTAGTTTTCTATTATCATTTAAAGAAAACTAATGTAGTCCTAATCTAATGATTCATAATCGCATCAAATGCTTGGCGAAGCTTACAGTAAGGCATGCTCTTGGTAAATCAGAATGCTTAAGTGGTTTAAAAGATTCAAAAGTGGCAATTTAAATGTGAGAAATGAAAAATGTGAAAGCCCACAAAAAAAAAGTATTATGAGCTGCTAAAACCTGGTGAGATCCATTAATACTTAAAACTATGGACAATGATCCATTTGAATTGAATATTGCGTGAAAACAAATAAAAATAAAAAAGGACAACACAGTGATTTTGCTCTATGATAATGTACCATCACACAGCAAAACCAATGAAGAAGACGACCAAGCTGCTTAGTTGGAAAATATCAGTATAGGTCGCTTATTCGACAGAATTAGCTCCATCAGAGTATTTACTTGCATCAATGGGACACACATTAACTCAGGAGTGTTTCACTTCTTATGAAAATGAACAAAAATGACTTGGTGATTTACTACAAAAGAGCAACCGTTTTTCAGGGAATGGCATACATAAATTGTCCAAGAGATAGTAAAAATGGATAGTTAGCAATGGACATCCTGGGTTTCAAATTTATACGCCTAGTGTGTATATAGCTGTGAAAATATATAAATAAATAAACATATTTATAAATTGCTACCTTAGAAGAAAATCAGCACAACTCTGTTTAGGGATGGTTAAAAAACACCATGTTCATCAATATATTCCAACTCCTCATTATTAAGCAGTGATTTTTCTCATACCAGAGCTTGTGAACAAGGGCAAAAAGTGCGAAGGGGATTTCATACTTGAAATGCAATACTATATCTGTTGGCTTCTAATCAATTAGATCTATCAGTTAAGTAGTAGGTACAATAATTAAAGTGCTACAGGGGATAATTTCTCAACAAGTCTTTTAATGTTATCATATTACTTAGTTTACATTTACTAGATGTATTTTCATTTAAAGTCAGTTGTAAAGATTGTGAAAAAAGTTTTTTTAAATAATATTGTTAAGAAAAATAGTGATTTTAGTTTTCACCTAAAATGAGTAACTTTTAAAATAAAAACTCTGTTACCATAGGAACATTATATTATCATTCAGAAAATATTGTAAAAAAATCCGAACAGTAAATTTGTCGGTTTGCTAACAGAAATTTCCAAAAGCCAACAGTAATAATTATAACCCCCTCTCCTCCTTTCTCTTTCTTACAAACTCTGGTCATTATCATTTAACGTATCAAACCCTCATAAATCTTTACCAATGGACAAAACCCTATCATTACAGATATTATAATATTGCAAATGCTAACAGGCTAAGCGTTTTTAATAGAATAAAAAAAATAATCTATAGTATTTATACTTACACCACCCCATCCATCTTGACTATAGAGAGCTTCCCTCATTGTGTTAAGTTGTTCCATTTGTTGTTTAGTAGATGTGCTTCCACTTGATGTGGGAGTTGTAGCTGTGCTGGTTGGAGGAAGTCCTTTACCTACAGCTGTGGCCCAGGTAGAACCACTTCCTACCACTTGGTTGCCAGCAGTTGAACCATTTTGTTGAGAAGATGATGTTGTTGCAGTATTTATATTGGACGTATTTGTTGATGAAGAGGCTGGAGCAGTTGTAACAGTTGGTGTAGACACAGCTGCTACAGGTGGAGCCGTGGACTGACTAGGTGGCCCCCCTCCTGGTTGCTGTTGTGTGCTACCTCCACCTTGCTGGCTGACTGAACTACGAGATCCATTATTATTGTTACTATTACTATTGCTGTTATTGGTATTGTTTTGAGTACTGCCCCAAGTTTGTCCAGCAGAGGCAGGAGCTGGACTTTGTCCAGTAACTGCTTGACCTTGTCCTGAAGAACTGTTACTCCCACTAGTAGTACTAGCACTGTTCCAACCAGAACTTCCACCTTGATTAGAAGGTGGTGACCCCCAGCCAGTAGTTCCTGTTGTAAGAGAACTCTCTCCTCCTCCTAACAGTTTGAAGTTTCGTGGAATTCCCCACCGAGTATAATAATCACAGATTTTAAAGCTTTTAACATCTTGATCGGTATCATCGTTGGTTTTTGGAATGTTTGGCGGCTGAATTGAACTCTTGCTCGGGTAAATAAATTTATCCTTAACACTAAATGATTCATTAACACTAATAGACTTAATGCTATCTAAGCAAAGAGCACCCGTTCCTTGTGTCTCTGCTAGTGGCATTTTGGAAGAACCGTCAGATTCACATTCACCAATCTGAAAATAAAATAAACACTGAAAAAAATCATGAGAAAAACAAATATTAGACACTGTAATAGCAGTATGAATTAATTTTCTTATGTAACTCATGCTTAATTTTAATGCTTAGCAATTAAAAATTTAATTAGTAAAGATAATTACTTCTGATGAGGAAATCTTGGCGGGCGCTTGGGACGGATGGTTGGTTATCACAGTCAGGACGGGGCCATCTTCTTCTCTCACCCCAATATCTACCACCATTACGTCCTATAGACAGAGAACAGAACAAGAACATTAATTATATATCTTTACAATACTGAAGTAATATTTATTAAACATGACATGATAATATCTTGAAATGGACACTTCCATTGTATATACATCAGTTTATCTGCTATGAACACACTTAAAATAAAAAATCTGATGCGTTGATCAAACAATTTTCACTTCTTTTTTTCCCCTGTTCTTCCCTACCTTGCCTTTTAGGCTATGCAGGATTTTCCCGGACCAGAGGATGAGGGCAGGGAATTTAAAATCCCCTCTGGCACCGGGACACGAACTCGTACTTTTTAAATCTCTCAAATCTGTTATCTGGTTTTGCCAGGCAACTCGCGGTGCTGTGCACACGCTTTAGCCCATTTGGCCACCCCGTGCCTTCACAATTTTCCCTTACCGCTCTACTTTGAATAGGAATTGAATTATTTTCAGGTTATGTAGGACTATTAAAAAGTTGTTGAAGTTTATTTTTAATGGAGATAAACCTTAAAGCTAACCTCTAACAACTCATTAAGGCAATTAAAACAATAAAATTCCTATTTATTATAAGGATGATAGGCAAAAAACCTCGTAAGTCCATCTGTTTTTACAAGCCAAATAACTCTAGTTTCTAAGCTATAAATGACTAGAGAGATTTCAAATTACAATTGTATATTTGACCTATAAATGATTATGGATTGTACTACTATTAATCCTTAAACTCTTTTTTTGCATTGTTTAGTTAATGCATTATAATTAACTGTAGACTCCTGGTCACATCCTTGACATTTTACCACTTCGATTATTGCTGCACGGTATATGGAGGCGTCTTTGAAGATCTCGAGGCGAAAGCAAAACGCTTGATAAATTGTTTTGTACAATTCATCTTCGGGATCCCAAGAGACATCTCTGTTTTCTGTTATCATAAAGAGTTGAAGTAGCTTTATCCTTCCTATCCTCATAAGTATTTCCTGGCATCCTTCCTCTTCCAAGTCATTCACTCCCACCATCCCTCATACATCTCCGAGGGTCCTTCAATTTAAATCCTCTGTTCACTCCCGCAATATCTGTTCCCAGTCTTCAGAGTATACATAATGACCCACTAAACTGCTTTTGATAGATCATTTATTATTCGATCTACATCCCTACAGAACTCCATCCCTCTGTACATCCATCACTCCAATACTCTCCTTACTTATAAATCCTGCCCATTAAATCATTTCCTTTCCATCCAGTTCCTATAAAATTTTAAATAGAAATTTCTGTAAATATGTATATGTATATGTACTATTTGTTTTGCTATTCAATTATTTCCATTTCATGTTATTTTTTTATTTTTTTTTTTTTATCAATTAAAGTTAGAAGATAACTTATATTTCTGTTTTCTATTATATCTATAAGTTTACTTTGTAAATAAATTAATATATCTCAGAGATTTAAAAGCCCACATTTCTGTCCTTGTTTATTATTCTAAAGGGATTCATCCCAGAATAAATAAAAGATTATTATTATAATTGTTGGGTAAATATAATACCGTATCAAGCATCATTAAACTACAGTAAATGTATGTAAGGTTATAAACATATATTATACACATCAATAAAATAATTTTATATTTTACTTTATTGACACAAGTACATCATTTAAAAAACTATTTCATCGCCTTGATTCATTGGATTTTTGATTTAAACACAATTATAAAAGCTTCCATTTAGATAAGAAATTACATTTGATTTCCTAGAAAGCGTGTGGTTTCCAATTCCCGGTTAGCTGATTTTGACGAAAAAGTTGCTATAACAACCTTAAATACACAATTTCTTTTGCGTACGACTTTTCGTTTTTGAACTAGACTGTTCACAAGCACTTGCACTTGCACATGCACACACACAAAATGTATTTATAAACATGGGATCTCAAAACATGTATTTCTGTTAAAAACTTGGATAAAAAATGTTCATGATCGCAATACTTTCTTCACTATATATTACATGTATAGATAGGTAAGTGAAAGTAAAAATCACCTTTATTGGCATGGAAACATTTCAAAACTTAATAAATAGTTTTACTTTTATAAGGTTGCGAAAATCAGTTACAATGAAATAAAATAACTATTTTTCACAGAAATTGGACCAACACAACATAATATGTATACTTATGTAACCATCATTATTAAGCAACATTTTTTGACCAATAGTGATTCTAAACTATAAATCCAAGCAAGCACCTCTTATACCTTTTCAAATTCTCTGATTTCTGATATTTTGTTCATTTCTTTTTCATAAATTTCTTTGACAATACAGAGACCTTTTCAGGTTCCCAAAATTCCTAATCTTTTACACGCATTTCAAGTTCGATAGATACCTTTGTTTTACTTACAAGATACACTGAATTCCAAAGAACCACACTGAAGAACCTGTGTTGTATTGAGTGTAGTGTGTAAATCGATATAACAATTTAAATGAAACTTGGCTAATATTCTCCTAGAAGAGCTTTAAATTTGTGTTATAACATACTTTACCAAAAAGAAGATACAAAAAATATATGGTGGATGGTAAAATTAGAATTTCAGATAAATAAAAAAGTATTCACTTTTACAAGTGAATACATACCATATTAAATAACTAACGGTACTGTTAGTCCAAAAGATCGTATATAAAATTTTACTATTTATATTCTATTTTTGCTAAAGATAACATTTTGTAGTTTGCAACTAATATAGTTATTCTGCAACTGTTTTTTTTTTTTTTTCACGGAACGGCCATAGAGACCACGCGAATATCATGACATTTGGCTTCTTTCTTGTTTTTCCTTTCTTTCCACTTCTCTCTTTTCGTCCCGTATAGTATCACAGGTTTAACAACTGTATTGTAGTGTCGTATTTTTGCTTCCTTGGACAGGTTTCTCTTGTTGTATATGTTACTGGTTGCAAAACTTAGTTTTTCCAATTTGGCTATTCTTTCCTTGATACTTTCTTTTTCGGAACCATTATTACATATAGTCTCACCCAGGTATTTAAATTTATTAGTTACATTTATTGACCCGTATTTGGTTTCCACTGTTTTTTTCTTGAAGTCTGCGTCTGTGGTCATTAATTTTGTTTTTTCGTAGGAGATTTAGAGACCCGCTTTTTTGGCTATTTCCGCCAGTGTATTTATTTGGTCGATTGCCTCTTCTTCCGTTTCCGCTAAAAGTGCAAGGACAGAGGAAAATAAAATATGAAATTATACTAATTAACCATAAAGGAATACTTAGTTTTTATACTCTCCCGTAAACCAATCAATATTTTGTAATGTACACCTTTATTGGAAGTGAGTAAAAAGGGTTTAATAAATTAATGTTGGACAATTAAAAGGCAAGCTAATCTAGTTCTACTAGTGCAGAGAAAAGAAAATGGCTGCTCTGTAGTTTCCCAAGAAGGTAAATCCCAAAGAGGAGAGGGACAAAGGTTTTTGTTTTGGCAAGCAGTTGTTGTGTGACTATAGTGAAGAGAGGATAGGAGAAGTGATCCTGGTCCAGTGGGTAAAACCCAGTAATAGTATTACCGTCTTGGAAGTAGTGTTTGGCAGAATTTGGAAAGTGTTTGAAAACAAATGAATTCAGTGCTACAAAGGAAGAAACTTTGTATATAGAAAAAGGTTAGCTTGCTAATCCATATTTGACTTTATTTTAAAATCAATGTTTGATTTTAGTATAAACAGTGTAAATAATAATAGTTTGTCTGAGTTGATCTGACTGTCAGTAACCCATACCTGAGATATAATAATTGTAAATTTCAGTTAATTACAATAATATTCTCATAATTTTGGTTTTTATTTAACAACCTCTTATTTATTTTGGAAGTTTCCTAATATTATTAAAGTGATCTTTCATGAGGTCATATTTATTATTTGTAAAATATAAGAGGGATGTTACAATTTATATACAATCTTTTTCACTAATGGTAGCGATAAGTATGTTCAGTATGTAGTGGGATTTCTTTATTTAAACACGATGATTCAAATACGTAATTTGAAAATGTGGAACTTTTTCTCATTTTAATAATCGCTGGTGAACAAAATTTGTGGATAACAAATCCACGAATGTTGAGAAATTATTGTATTTCTGAAAATTGCTTCTTCCGAAGGTATTATTCTCATATGAAAAACTATAAATTTGAAATTGATTTTATTTATTCATATACCACAAATTTTATCTATCAGCTCTATTTTTTTTTTGTTGGCATTACAGACCTTGTTGATCTTTTGCTCTCTTCATCAGCCTTCTCCATCCCATATCTAGGGATATTTTTTTCCAGTTACTTACATGCAGCTCTATTATATATTTGTTGATTCTATCTATCCATATGCTTTTTGAACTTCCAGATGGTCTTTAGCTCACCTTCAAAATAGTCCCCACTATATATTTATACACTTATATCAGAGCTTCTTTTAGTCCCCGAAACACTTTTGAAACCCAATTTTTGGGACATCATTAAGCTCTCTCACCAATGGACCTTTACTTATTTATGCATGAAAAATAACAGCCTTTGAAGCTTCTTTTTATTTGTATAAAGAGAAAAAAGTCAAATCAGGCAAATATGGAAGCTTGAGAAGCATTAGTTTTGTTTTTTGACAAAAATTCATGAACAAGAAAATAAGTATGATCAGATGCACTATTGTGGTACAAAAATATCAATTGTTTCATCATACATCCAGGCGTTTACTTGGAGTTGCTTCCCAGAGTTAAACTAATGGGAGTACTCGTTATTGATCATTTGAACTTTTGACAAAAACTTAAAACGTCAAGCGTCCAAAATGCTCATTGTTATAAACGTCTTCAGGGCCGTCTTGGAAATGCATGTACTATTTGTAAACCCATGTTTAACTTGTAGCAGACTCAAACAGCAATATTCAACATTTCTAAAACTTTATTCCATTTTTATAACAAAATTAAATGCAAATTTTTATTTGCATTTATTATTAAACGCAACACACCTCATATAAATTGAAAGATATATTTTCACAGAAAAATGGCATTTTGCTAATATTCTTCCAAGAAAACTGGAATCGAATTAATCAGTAAATTTATTAACAATACAAAATAAACTCATGGAAAGCATTTCAATATAATAATATAAGCAATCTTACAGATAATTAAATAAATTCTAACAAACCCTTTTCTCAGGCACTTGAAGAGTAGGACTTGTGGGCTTGTGAGGCTGCGCCATACCTCTTAGCAAGCTCTCAGATTTGTCCTCCTGTTTAAAAAAAAAAAAATTATGCCAAATTGATAAATCACTTTCTGTATAAATCAGCCACAGTTATCATAAAAGTTTTTACCTCGTCTTTATTTTGTACAAAGGCATTAGTAGTTTTAGAAGAAATCTCATTTGAACTAGAATTGTTTCGAAACATTGGCTCTCAGTACGTCTTTGGCAGGCAATATTTAAAAACCAAAGTCTGAAAAAAAAAACAATTAAAAAATAAGTGAAAATAATTAAATCAATAGGGTGATTCTTAATCACAGAATGTTTTTATATTCCTAGTCTTAACAAAAGAAATTTTCTAAATGTAAAATAATTTTTTAATGTTTAATTTAATGATAACTATAAGCACTATCAAGCAAAACTTTTTTTATTTTTATTGAAATGTAAAACATGAAAAATACACCAAGTACATGTGAGCTATCATTTAATGACCTAACACTGAAACTAAAAAAAACTAAGCACTGGTAGCACTCCAATACCAATTCTACTTATGGTACAGAGATCATATTCCTTTCAAATAGCTAGGAGAATTATAAGGAATAGTTGAGGAAGCAAAGATAGAAACTAATTGGTTCGTATGGGTCTGGAGTTTAAATTAACAAAGATAATGTAGATTTTCATTAGATCATACTCTTTTTGTTATTTGTTGAGAAATATGGACAACAAACTTGTTTGTTTCAGTTAATGTAAGACTTTCGAATAATAATAATTTTAAAAAAGATCACTTTTGCAGTCAAATGTGTGGTAAATATTTAGAAGGCTATATTTCTGCACAAAATATGACACAGGTTTTTTGGCTGCCATCTTGAAAGGAAAGGGTGAACAGAAATGTGAAATTATAATTAATTAACTATTGTATAACAAATAAAATTATCCATAAAGACCTAAACATTCCTCTTGTGGAAGACTTGGCCCGAACTAGATATACCTCTTTTCATTTTAAACTCTTTGGTCACCCCAATCCTCTAGTTTGAAACCTTTCATCCAACACAATTCCTGACAATCCTAATCCTCCAAGGCATCTGAAAAGAAGATGGCCAAGGGATCTCCTAAATTAATTTATCTTTGAAGTGTTACCAATGGGTAGCTTCTTCACAAGTACCTTCATGTAATATATTCCTACATCAAATTTACTTGTTGTACATTTGTTACAGTTGTAAATTTCAATAAAACATTAAAATAAACTTTTTTTCAGCTTGGAAGCAGTATAGCAACCAATAAATGCTAAGGAATTTAAAAAGAAACAAAATTTCCAAAACAATGCAGTCTTTATTTTTCAGCCTTGTCGCTCCACTAAATTGATGTCAGGTTAAGGAAGGGGTAAAGGAACAGTATCAGTAACTAATTTTGTTGCAGTGTTGTTGTTACATACACTGCAACAAAATTAGATCAAAACAATCTTTTCTCCGAAATAATATAAGACTCAAGCTAAACTAAAATACCAGAAGCTTTGGTCAGGGAAAAATGTATACAGTTCTTCCATTTTGAGACTGTTCTGATATGCTTAGTCAAGCAATTAAGCTACTAGTTCCTTGAAGTAATTTATAACTTACCTTACAGACTAATTAATTATCTTGGGCTTTTCTCATTGTGGCAGAAATCTGCAACAAATACAATAAAACTAAATAAACTTACAACTGCAGAAAAATACAGGTTGATTTAATTTTGTATCAACACAATAAGTTAAATAAATAAACTAATTAAAACTAAATAAATCTAATAATTATTGGAACTAATATTCACATAATTTGATTCTCTATCTATAATAAATATATTGAAAGCCAAACTGCATAAGCCTAAATAAACAGAGATTTTAGCTTTTATGGTCAATGTTGGTAATTCAACCAAATTACACATTTGTATAAGGTTTTAATAAGGTCAAAAAGAGGATGAGGCATCAATGGAATGCTTATTACATTTATTAAATTTTAAGATTATTCCACAGTACAAATGTCACTTAACTTTCATCAGCTGTACAAGATCTCATGATCATACCATAAATGAATCAAGAAAATAGCAGAGTGTGTTCGAAAGTGACCGTCCTGGAAGGTCCTGACCTCAATATAAAAATACGTCGAAAGCAGTGATATAATTAAAGCAAATTAATGGCATAACTTTAATTGAAATTGATCAGTAAGGAGTTGGTGGGAAGTTCTAAATTGTGATCTAAATAAAGGGAGGTTATACTCTTAACACATCAATCTTCAGCCAGTCTCAGAATCCCATTTATAGTGTAATTGTGGGATCTTGGTCCACTCGGTAAAGCAGGGTGACATTTGTATTGTTAGCTTCAATTCAACATATCCAATTCACATTCTTCTGGATATTTTTAACATAACTTGTATCATTAGTATTGTTCATTTCATGAATAATATTCAGTCTATTTAGTGACACTAACTTTGTTTTTCATGTAGTGTTTCAAAACCTTGTCATTTATAAAAAATAGCCATTATCTGAAAATTAACTAACAAAATATGTCACATTTATGGATTTCTATGAGTAACAACTTCCTATAAACAGTTTCATTTCTTCTTTTGAGAATAGTTGGGATCTTCATAACCATATATAATATATCTAACGCACAAAGGTTTGTCTTAAACAAAATTTTGAGGTACTGAGAGTGAAGGCACCATTTTTAACTTGATTTCTTAGTCTTAATAATAAGCTTTCTCTGTAATTTATGATTAAGGGTTATTTATTTCTTTTATTCTGATGCAAAATACTCAAAGAATGAGAATTAAATTTGATTGCAGCATTTAAAAATGAGGGCATTATAGCATATCATATCAGATAACTCATAAACAAATATATCCCTCAGATATTAATTGATTTGAATTTAAAAGTTGGAGATAATAAGACAAATTAAACAACAGTAGAAACTAGCTGTTAGTTTCTAGAAAATTAAATACTTTTAAGCAAACAGATGGAGATAAAGAAAAAATGCATTTTGTCCAAAAGAGGGCAAGTTCAAATAATGAGAGTTTTATAATTTTAATGGTAATTTTGGCCAAAAGAGAGAAAGTATAAATAAATGTAGTTTACAACAAACGTGAAGGTATCTTTAAAAAGTCTTATTATTCCGTTCTCGTGGGAAGATGAACAATTAAAGTAAAATCTAAAATTAAAGAAGTAATAAGCTTGTAAAAAATGTGTTGTACATCAGTGATTGAATATATAATACTATTATATCACAATTGTTCTATTAAATAAAATATATTTTTACATTTGTATTTGTAATGAAATAAAGGAAACTATGAACATTAGAAATAAAAGGTTTCACTTCCATTCTAATTTTAGAACCCAGTTTTAATATATAGAAATAATAAGCAGAAAAAAATATCATGAAACCAAAAACAAGACATAAATGAAAGTAAAATATTGTTGGCGTGATGAACAAAATCATCAAGTGACATCTCTTAATCCAAATAATTTTGAACTTTGATGGACTTTCCATTTACAAAATCAGAAAATTGTGCACTTAATGTAACTATACATGATAAATGAAACAGTTTGTGTCATTTTTACATAATTACAGTTTTTTTTGTCAAGATAAATAAGATAGAAATTCCCAAAAACATACATGAAAGTTAACCTATTCCAAAAGTGAGATTAGTGACATTTTGCAATAAACCGATATTTTATTTTATTCGTTTTTTAAATAAACAAATTAAATAATCCAAGAAGCATAAATAGTTTTGAATGCTATAAAATCAAATAAATTAAAGAATACAAAAAATTAAAATTAAATAATAATATAAATAATCATAAGAATAGAAATCTAAATTAAGTAATTTGAAAACCTCATAACAATAATTTAAGTTCAAGTAAAGTAATTGCTAACTGTTAACATCTACAAATAATTTCAAAAGAAGACAATAACTATATGCGGCCAAATAGGGCCCAAAATGAAAATATGATGTTGATTAAATAAATGAACTGATGAATAAAACACTAACATGATATACTTTATTATTATTAATATACAGCTATATACGTAAGCTCGACACAAAAATAAAATTTGGAGATCTAGTCGGCTTCAACTCAGTATAAAAAGTTAAACTGAATAAACAAACAACCCAGTAGAACTATAAGTGAATCAAGCATTTCTATTAATGAAACAAAATATCAACTGCTAATATCTTAACCATAAATGCTAGCCACTCTATCAATTGATTAGGAAGTATGAAGGTACTGTTCGATATGGTCTTATCAATTAGTCTTGGTAGGGCACACTGTCTAACAGAGACAAAATACAATAATTAAATTAAGTATACTTGGGTAAGTAAATGAATTATGTTTTGAACCAAGAATATTAAAAAAATCAATGAAAAGTGTTGATTTAAGAATAAATCTGTTGAAAATTAAAAATGAGCAGAAATAAAATAAATAACTTTCACTGATTGGTAATAAGATTATTCAATAAATTTTGTGGATTTAAATTAAAAATGAAACTTTTAAACCTGATGAAATAAACACTTCTTTCTCATCCACTAAACACCATGACTGTTTACTAACTCAAGAAAGAACTAAAGAAGAAAAACATAGCACAGAGAAGTAGATACTGGCTTGTCGGTTAAGATAGATTTTTAAACAAATTAATTTAAAATTAAGCATGTTCATTTAGAAATCATCAATAACTTGAGCATGACCTAAATATAATAGATAATAATTATTTCAAATGAAATGTGTGGAGAAAATTCGACATTAGAGTTAGAACAAAAGTTTAATAAAAAGGCAAATGAAAATTATCACCAAGTAGGTAAAACCAAATATATTTAGGGAGGGCTTGAGAAATACAACAGATGCATTGCTCAATACTAAAGTGAACAACAAACAGGATCATAGATTTTATAATCATCACAGATTGTATATCACATCATAAATAACTAAACGAATAAAAAGAAAAGGAGTAAATAATTACCGATAAACATTTTTTAAGCTAAAATAAACTTTTAAAATAAATAAATATATATAGAGCGATATATAGAAAAACAAACACAATATCAACAAGTTTAATTTTCACAGTAAAAATGATTTTTAACACTAACTAACAATCATCACAAAAAAACCATAAACAATACTTGAACTTAACATTCAACAACCACGGAGACTTCTATAATTCCTCTAACAAAATAACGGTTGCATCAA